GGAAATATATTTGATGTTGCACAACCAAACAAATCTCAGCCCAAGGCAGTGGGGGTGGGATATATTTTGTGGAATTAAAGTCCACCCATCTTAAAGTGGCCAAGGTTGAGAAACACTGGCCTAGATTATCTAGCAAATAAATAATAACATGCGCATTAGTCAGACTTTACTTGCATTAAAGTTAATTTTAATTTCTAGAAAAGTTGCAAAAATAATGCCTCTCTGATTTAATAATTTTCTAGATTTGTTGCAACCTCATTTAGAAAGAGTTGCTATTGAAGCACTGCAGATTTGCTGCCTATTGCTTCCACCACCAAATCGCAGAAAACTTCAACTCTTAATGCGTATGATCTCTCGGATGAGTGAAAATGTTGATATGCCACGACTTCATGATGCAGTAGGCACCAGAACTTTGGTAGGATTGCTTCCCATAATGTTGTTGTTGTTTTTTAAGCAGGTATTCTAGTTGCATCATTGACAAGTGGATTCATATTTAAAAATCTTCCTTTCTGCTCTGTCTTGTATGTCTGATCACCTGCCAGTATTTTAATAGCCTTGTATGGGTTGGCAGAGGAGGGTCTGAGAATTTAATTGTTCTACGGTTAAATTTAAGGAAATAAAAATAAGGCCTGCAGTCCTATCTTGCTTGGTTTTCTCATTCCAAAAGTGGCCACTCAGACCAGATGTCTTTAGGAGGCCTGAAAGAGGGTGGGCCAGCAATAGGCTTCTCCTACTATTGTCCTCCAGCAGCTGGCTCTGATTCTGAAGATTGAAGGTAGCCTTTGAGACTAGTCATGATACCATATTCCATGCTCAGAATCTTTTTTGAACCAGTCCAAGGTGGTGCCTTCACGCCTTGTGATAGAAAGGTTTATAGATAAACAGCTTCTATAATAGGTATGAGTGAAGAGAAGGGAGATCTCTAGCCACATACAATTTCAGTTGTGGATACAGAAGAGAGGGGAATCGTTCCACCTGTCCTCCACCAGTCTGTTTACTTACCTGCATGCAACTCTATGCTTTTTCCTGCATGTAATTCCTTGTTGCTTGTAACCTCCAAGTAGGCACTGAAAATGCAAAATTGGATGTAATGCAGCCCCCCAAATCCTGGAGTGAAACTTTAGAGATACTTCAAAATTTGCCATCCAATGTTAATGTTTAATAGAAAGAGATACTTATTAAATATATGGGGATAAATCATACAAGCAATATTGAATGTAATGCAATTTTAATTTAATGCAAATTTAAGTCTTGTGTTGCCGTATCCTGTCCTAGCACTTGCATGTGGGTTTTTTGTTTTGTCTTTTGTTTTGTTTGTTTTTTGCATACTCGAAACCAAATATGATCTTCAGCCCCAAAACTGTTACAAACCTCTGCTGTACGAGAAAGTTATTTCAATACCTGGTGATTCATAATTGCATGTTTAAATGCTTCCAGATGATACAGACGTTTTCTCGTTGTATACTGTGCTGTAAAGAAGTGGATCTGGATGAGTGGCTTGCCATAAGATTCGTTTCCTTTCTAATGGATCACCAACAGGAGATTTTAGGAATCCCAACATATTTACAAGTTGCAGTACAAGACCACATAGAAACATTAAGAACTACTCAGGTGAGGAAAATGATTAAGTGATGTCTATTAATCTTTAAATAGAACTTCTTTTGAATCAGATATTTATATAAATAATTTGCTTTTTTGACAGCCATGGTCTTGGAATTGTTTCTTCAAACTTGTCTTACCATTACTGCTACTTTCCAGATTTAAATAAAATACTGTGCATTGATGTATGGCTCACATTCTATAGCCCATGTTATAAATTCCCCTATAATAACCCTTTGATCTAAATAAATTACTGTATGCATGATTTATCTGGTCAGACATTTGTATTATTTTCCATAGCCAGTTTGCAGGGTAATGCAGGAAGAGTGAACTGCCGTGCATTGCTGTCTTGAATTCTTGAACCATTTCAATACAAAAAATTCATAGGATCACAGTAATCTGCATCCAGATCATCAAGGTTCAGATAAACCATATGACACTGTGCACTTAATAGGTATAAAGAATGTTTTATCTGAGTATAAACAATTATTAAATGTATAGTAATGCTATAGACTGATAGAATTCACTTATAATTTAGCTCCTCGTAAAGATTTTGTGGAAAAATTTTTGTTATCTTTTACTCATGATTTTGTTTGGTCTTCAATAAATTCTGTGGACCTCTGAGTCTGTTTATGAGTAGGAATCAGAACCAAGGTTTTCAGTTTTCTGTAACTTTAACTAAAGCACACTCAGTTGTACACAGCAGTCCAGTGACTCATAATTGGGCCCCATGAACTGTTCAGAGGCTATCTCAAAAGCATAGGAGTTTTTGAAATTTTACTTAGTTGCTTCTCTGAACCTACAGTGACCCCTGTATATGAGATTATACTCTTTATTTCACACTGAAGATAATATCTTAAGTCTTAGATTTCTCCTTTTAAAAATAGTACGTAGCAAACAAGGATCAAACAAGAATGCCTTATCCTTACTTGCAAAGTGTGACCTAGTATGGAAGTCAGAAAGATTTCATTAAATGTAAATGTTTAAAATATACTTAGATACTGGAATGAAGTCATCTCCTCTGAAGTACTTTTTTGATATTCCAGTTGATATTGATACTCCAACTTTTTACTTATATCATCAGGGGTATTTAATGAAGTTGCATTTGTGCACATTAGTGAATTAAAGGCTAAGGATCGCAACTACAGGTTCCTATATCAAAATAAAATTCTTCTAGTTGTGGAATTCATTTCATATTATTATTTTCTTCGGTATCTTATTCTCCTGGGGTGTTTCAGCTGCTGTAAGTGTATTTGTATTATCCCCATATTAAAATTAACTGAGAGGATTCTGGCTTATCAAAAGGCTTCTCGCTGGGCACTATTTTAGATCTCAGATGGGAGCTTCAGAATTGAAGTTCTTGCTGCTAGCCAGAGCTGGTGTTGATGTCCATTTGTTAAAATGCCTTTTTGGTTTTGCTTGCTTGCAGATGGAATGTCTTGAAGAAGAACTGAGCACCATATTTCCAAGTTACTCCTATTGCATGAGGATTACATCTCAGGAATTTGATGAACAAAAGTTTTCTATTTCTCAGGCAGCAGTTGCTGAGCTTTTGGAAAATATTATTAAGGATAGGCATTTATCTCTGAAAGAGAAGAAGAAAAAACTTAAGCAGGTAACGCAACCGGTGAACTGTTTAGATATCACTACTCAACAAGAAGGCCTCGAGTAATTTGTGGAGGTTTTATTTTCTTTTTGACAGATCTGGATAAGAAAACCATTTGTCTGGAAATAAATGTGTTCTGTGGGAAACATGGGTCCGCATCCCTTTAGCTAGGTTATTTTTTAAAGCTTTCTACAGCCCCACTTTATGTTGCCGCTCTAGCTCCTGTGGTGCAAAGACTTAGGCTGCAATAGCAAAAGTGGTTTCTTAAGAATCTTTACCATTTGTCAAGAATAACAACTTGGACCTAAACTGTTGCTTTAGTTTTGCTATTATACTGGATGTGAAGGATTTCCAATATCTGCCCTCCCCTGCTAGAACCTTCAACAAGCTATTATACTGGGCCAGGGTTGTACCTCTGTTAAAGATATGAGATGATGTCAGTTCAGTTAAGGGTGGTAAAATTGTTGCTCCTCTCCTTTTATATCTTCTTGCATGAGTGCAACACTCAGGAATTTTCTGGTGTGGCAGGATAACAGTTCCTATTCCAGCCCAAACAAGTTGTGTTGAAAGCCATGATGGGTGAGCATGGCATCCTCTTTTGCAGAGCTGGAACCCTTGAAAATGATATATAGAATCAGACTAAATGGTAGGGCATTTTGCAAACTAGATTTGCTGCCACTTTGTGTTATGTTAGGTTGATAATAGGAACAGACAACCCATGGCATTCCAGATATTGTTTAATTAACTATCACTCCCAGCATCTCACCACAGGCAGTGCTTCCTAAATGGCAAATTATAATTCAGCAGCTATTTGGAGTGCCACAGGTTGCCTGTTTTTACTATAGACTAAGAGCAAATCTGCATGAGAGATTAGGAAAATGTTCTTTGCTCTTGCATAACAAATTCCCTTAAATTCAGCATGTACTAGGTTGTTACATTGTGTTTTGCAGCTAGCATCTTTGATATTATTAATATTCTTAAAATGAATATATTATGAAAACTTGCATATGATACTAGATAATTGTTTTCTGAATATTTACTTGGTTTATTCAAGTTCACCTGACACAGTTTATTGTAATCTGCTTTGTGGTAAAGTAGAACAATTATGGCAGAGCTTAATACAGAGAGAAATTTCTCAGAACAAATTGCTGCCTGGAATTATACTTGTCCTAGGATGTATTAAACAAGTCTCATGACTCAAGTCTGGCTCTAAATTAGCAGTTTAAGTCACTGCATTGAAGTTACTGTTCTTTATTTTTTCCTCTTACATTCTTTCTGAAGCTTCCAAATAGTTGAAGAGACTTGAGGTTATTCTATTTAAATTAGCAAAAAGCTCGATACCAGTATTTTATAACACAATTAGACTTTAAAATCTGACATCTGTTAGAGCTATGTTTATGTTATGTATATGTATATATGTTATGTCTAGCTGTTTTCCCAACCTGATATCTTCTAAATATGGTAGATTACAACTTGCAAGATTCCCAATTAGTGTGACTGTTGGACATACAGGTAGTCCCCAAGTTAAGAATGCCCAGTTTACAGATGACCCATAGTTAAGAACACAACCTACTGTAGCAAAATTGGAGTTAAATACACAATGGTTGGAGTTCATTACACAATACTACTTATACAGTATTATACAATAATACTGTTCCAGCTTACTTACAAATTTGACTTAAGGACAGACCTTGTGAACAGAACTTGTTCTTAAACTGGGGACTATCTGTACTTGCTGGGAATTGCACTCTCTCTAAAGGGCAGCAGGGTAGGCAAGGCTGCATTCCTCAATGCATGTGTTTTTTTTAGGAGTTAAAAGAGGAACAGCAATTTGTCCTGTATTCTCACATGAATACATTAGTATTCACAATCATGAAACATACCTGCTGTTATGTAATTTTACATGTAAAGAGACATAAGTGAAAGATCCTCTATAACTTATTAGGTATGATAGAAAGGTCATGACCAACCATTGTTTCTATTCCAAGTGCTAGCAGAAACCCACCCACCACCCCCCGGTCTCTATCTGGTCTTTGGCTACATTTTTTATTTAGAGATGCTTGAATAAGAATTTACTGGCTGCTGAGAAAAGACCCAGCAGTACAATGTTTACAAATGCCCAATACTTTCTGATTCCAGTTGTCTAGTTGTGTCTGGTTTCTCAGCTGGAAAGCCATTGCAAATCCTATATCTGTTTTGACACAGAATGGTTAGTAAAGATGGGGATCAAGAGCTATATGTAAACAATGTGTCCTTTTAAATAATTCATTCTTTAACCTTGGAAACAGGTAAAGATGTAGACCCATAAAAGATCAGATACTTCTAGCAACATGATTTTGTATGTAGGTACATATTCAGAAATAGAAATAACCTTCCAAGTTTATATTGAACATTTAAAGGTAGTTGTGACTTAGGAGTAATATTTGCAGGAATTATTAGTTGATTTGGCTAGAAAAATATTTTTTGCACAGGGTAACCCAGTTTTTGAAAAAATTCATATTGGTGTTTTACTGTTTTGATTTACAGTTCCAGAAGGAATATCCACAGATTTATCAGAACAGATTTCCAACCTCAGAGAGTGAAGCCATTTTGTTTGATGACAAGCCTACAATTAAACAGCCGATGCTCAGCTTGCGAAAGTCAAAGTATTTTAGCATGAAAAGTTAATCTATACCTCACTTGTCTATTTATGAAGAGACTTTTTTTTTAAATGAACATTAGAAATATTTCAGTATGCGCATATATGCAAGTACAGATTTTATGAAATGTGCTTAGCTGAAGAATTTCTTCATGAATCCTGAAGACTGTATTTTATAAGCATTGTTTACAAAGCAACCCCCAAAATTGTAAATAGTTCCTTTTTTAATGAACAGAGCTGAATGAGATACAGATGAAGAGCATATTAAATACACCAACAGCAAAAAAGAAAGAAGGGTAGCAGTAGCATTTATAAAAACAGCATGTGCTGTAACTCTTTGCACTGTTTTTGAAAGGAACATACTGTATTCTGGATACCACAATATTGTCTTAATATTGATCTTGTGTGTGTGTGTGTTAATGCTAAGTTAAATAACACAGCTGAGAACAGGAAGCATGGAACATCACCATAAAGATAGTGATTGTAAGCCTGATTTTTATTGAACCCTTTATTAGAAAAAAGAACTCTATTGCTTATAAAGCCATAAAGGAGTAATTCATTCATTGTTTCTAATAGTTTGAAATGGTAACTAATGGTCTCCTGTTTTCTGTATGTGCTCACATCTTTCAGTTATGCTTAAGTTAGTTATGGTTCACTTTTCATGTTGCTCTCAATGAGACTCATACATAGCTAATTTTATTTGGACTCAATAGCATGTTCCTTAGTAGAATTAGATTGCCCAGATTCTCTTCCCCACCATACTCCTGTTTGTGTTTTCTTTCTAAGGATTTTCTGTTTCTAATATATATTTGCAAATATCTGATTTATAAAAATCTCTCAGAAGGTTGTTTGAAGAAACTTGTCTAATTCCTGGTAACTCAGTTATATCTTGTATAGAATGTTTTATAAAATGCATTACTGTACACACCCAGAACTGAATTTTAAATGGAAGAACTTAAAGGACATTGTTTCATTCCCTTTCTATGTACCACTGTGTACCACCACATTATATTATGGGCACTTTCTGATGTAAACAAACTTTTCCAGTGAGTTGCGGGTATTTTCCTGAAAGGAGCAGCTATATTATATTCTGTTTTCTAACTATGAGGGATAAAGAAGGGACCTCATCTGGTGGAAAAAGTATTTTATTTTTATTTTATTTATTAAATATATATGACCACCCATGTCACACAAGGTGACTCTGGGTGGCGTACAATAAAGCTAACAGTTAAAACAGTATGCAAACACCAATTAAAACAAATATAAATAAAAAGGTGACAAATGGAAACATATCAGAATATTGTTCATGATGCATCCAATGCATTTTAATTATCAAATTAAAATGTTTTAACCACCTCATGTTAGTTGAGCAGGCTAAGTAAGGAGGAACATTTAGCAGATATGGGTTAAGTAGCTGAATAGTTGCTAAATTTTGCATAGTATTTTTATGAATGGAATAAAAACCACAAATTACATTTAGATGTTTTAAATATGAATTATATATTTATTTAATAAATTTCTAGCAAGATGTTGTGCTGGTAACAGCAGATCAGATCTGATGTCTGTAAATAGCTTACTGACTGGCTGGGCAAAGCAATATATAAGCATTTAGCCTTGCCACTCATGGCTAAGATTTCATTGACTTTAAGTCACAGTGCAGTAGCACCAAGGAAGCTAAATGTTTTGCTCCTTTGACTTGTTTAACTCCATGTTTACATCAGTTTTTTATTTCTTCAAGTACTGGCTGTGGGTACATTCATAGGTCAGCCTTCCTCCCAGACCCTAGCCAAGGCCAGCTAACTGGGTTTTCTGATTTGATGTTGAAGTAACATTTTCCATTTTTTCGCAGCAGAAGTCTATGTAAAATTTGTGTGGTTTCAGCAGCAATTGAGGTGGGGATACAGTTGGGCTGGGATCTGTCCTGCTCCTACTGGCTGCTTGCAGTTGTTGTGGACATACCCATTCCTCTCCATCACCACTGACCTTTCTCCACAGCCATTTTGGTTTGTGCCGCTGGATTGATATGACACCAGCAGCCAAACCATATTGCTAAAGAAAGTGATAGACCAGGACCTCTTTAAAAGCAACCTGTCTTTCAGACCTGTGTACAGGTAGTCCTTGTTTAGTAACTGCCTTGTTAAGTGACCATTCACAAATACAACAATAGCAAACAGCAGTAAAAAAAAATCATATTCCAACCAATGCGCACACCCAAATTTCTGCACCTGACAACCCATGCCGGAGTGTAATACTGGCGCTGCATGAGAACTTTATCTAAATGAGACAGCAGCACCAACAATCTGCAGTGTATATCAGTCACATGGTTCACTTAGCAACCATTTTGGCGGAACTAATTGCAGTTGCTAAATGAGGGCTACCTATATACACTAATGCCCAAGCAGTTACTCGGCCTCCAATGCCCTAGAAGAAGACCTGCCTGTTGGGGTTGCTATTGTCAGACTTCCCTCCTTGTGGTCGAGACTGAAAAGTTAATCAAACAACAATTTAGGAGATCTGATTACTTTATTAGAAGAAAGATGATTATTAAAACAAGAATTCCAGCAAGTACCTTACTTTCAAAGGAGACGGCTTTAGGCAATTCATGGTGGCAAAACACTTGTCTTATTTCTTCCTGCTTTTTTGATACAAAGGATTGGAAGTTTACCTCTTTAGTGAAAGCAAGTTGCTCTGCATCTTTTCACTGCTTAGGTAATTGCTATATTTTTTGTGCTTGGAACTCTATAGCAATAGAGCAAATGATGCCAGTAATTTGTGCCACCACCTAACCTGGAGAAACGTCCATCGAATCAGCAGTCTGGATGTGCCCTCACACTCTCACTCGCCAGGTTCTTGACCATCCTCACCTACACTCCTCTCTCATATTCCACAATATCTTACTCAATTTTTATTTGTCTTCTATGAAATTTCTTTTGAACTTTTTTTTTAATATAATACCCTTTTTTGCTTTCAGCCTACTTTTGCCTTTAAGCTTCTCTCCACCTCTTCTTTCTTTAGGCTCCTCTTTTTCCTTCTATTACCTAACTTGGATCCTTCCTTCAACCTTCTAGCTCATGGGCTTTTAACATTCCTCTTTCTAATACAATCTCTGTTGCCCTTGTGGAGGTTTAGAATCCCTAGCCAAACTCAGAATGTTCCCCTTTCCTCAGAAAATGGACTGCTGTTTCTCAGAGAACAAAGCAGCTCTTGTACAAGTCCTCCAATCAAGATGCTTCACTGCCACATGTACAATAGCAATTATTTTTTTATTCCTGAATTCAAGAATCTCTTGTTCTGACCCAGAACTAAAAGTGAAATTGGAATAATGAAGGTGATTATAAAGACTAATTTATTCAATTCCTCTGTACTTTCCAGTCATAACTGTTTGGTCACACCAGTGTATATTAGCTGAACTGTTATTCATCCTTGAATCAGCAAACTCTTTCTTTGTTGGGCTTGTATACTATTGTGATTGCTGGCAACCCTGAGCAGTGTACATATCCAACATCCATAAATTAGGTTGAAAAGTAAAGTTATAATATGTATTTAAAAAGTCTGTCTATCCATCAATAGCAGGAACATCAATTACATTCGACAAATTGACTGTTATCCCTGAGAAGATCAACGAAGGCTTCTGTGTGACTTCAAAAAAAAGCTACATGTTTATATATTCTATAATCAATAGGCAAAGGCTTCATTCTAGACCTGAGAAAAGAAAACAAGAAATGTTAGAGGTCAAAAAATCACCATATTGCTAAAACCAATATAGCTCTATATTAGAAGGGTGCAGCTTCCATCAGCATGAAAGCGTTATTAGGCTTTGCACAGCATGTCAAAAGCCACACACCTTAAATGAACCATGATGCATTTGGACAATACTTGAGGGTTTAAAAGGGAGGATGAAGTAGATATTTTATGTCTTTGCCAGGGCTAACTCTAACCTTAAACCATTTTTCTTTTATCCTTTGCCCATTCTAAAAAAAATGCGAACAAGGAACTCAGGGGACAACAAAAGGAATGCTGGCAGATTATATGTGTTGAAATACATATGCTGAAAAGTTGAAAAAATACAGTGGGGCAAAAAAGTATTTAGTCAGCCACCAATTGTGCAAGTTCTCCCACTTAAAAAGATGAGAGAGGCCTTTAATTTTCATCATAGGTATACCTCAACTATGAGAGACGAAATGGGGGGAAAAATCCAGAAAATCACATTGTCTGATTTTTAAAGAATTTATTTGCAAATCATGGTGGAAAATAAGTATTTGGT